TTCTCCTTCAACTTAAACCCATTTCCCCTTGTCCTATCAGTGGACACTCTTGTAAAAAGTCCCTCCCCAGCCTTCCTGTAGGTTCCCTTCAGGTATCGGAAGGCAGCTGTTAGGTCCCCCCAGAGTCTTCTCTTTTCCAGACTGAACAACCCCAGCTCCCTCAGCCTGTCCTCGTAGCAGAGCTGCTCCAGCCCCTGGATCATCCTTGTGGCCTCCTCTGAACAAGCAGAGGAAGGGTTATTCCTTGATATTTCTTAGCATTGGTCCACCAAAGCCTTTTTTTTTCTTTATTATATTTTCATATTCCATCATTTTTGACCATTGTTGTAGGCTCTTAAAGTGGTTGGTTTAAGTCATCGTTCTGAGACTCCGGCAGTTGGATAATCTTATTCTGTAAGGTCAGTGTGAGCCAAAACTCCGGATTTAGCCGAGCAGTGTCTGTAAGTTTTCACTCCTCCACTTAACAAACATTCGAGCTGCCACGTGAGGTCAGACTAAAGATCTTGGCTCGTTTGCAGCCAACGATGGGGACCACACGCCGCATCCAGACCTCCTTGGCCTCTGCTGGACTTGCTTATGCCCTTTTGGAACTTGCTTGTGCTTTCTTGCAATAATATCCTGTGGCTTGGACTTCCCCAGAAGAATAGATGCTTCACGTATTCTGCAGAAATTTGCTTTCCATCGCTGTTTAAGCCAGAATCTCTGCTGGCAGATGTCTCCGCGGAGCATCAGTGCTAGGAGAGCTGGCAGGAAAGGACATGGTTATTATTTCTGGTCCTGTTATCTCCTAGGAGAGTTCTTAATAGCCAAAAAAACCCCAAACTGCCCTGTCCTTTGGCCATTCTCCCAGCTTGCTTTCCAACACCTCTGTTTTTTCTTCTGCCCAGAGATGCTGTTTTGGAGCTGTTGGGTGCCTACAGCTCCTTAGGAGACCCATCAGTGACTTATTTGGCGTGAATGATCCGTGGGGTGGGGATCACCTTGCTAACCTTTGGAGACTGATGAGTGCATTGAAAGACGAAGGTGCTAAAGGGCTTGCTACCTTTGTCCAGACCGCCAAGCTGGAAGCGCTCTTTAAACAAATCTGTTGATAATGGCTGCTCTAAAGCACTCCACTGACAAAGTAAATAGCAATTAGTACGATTAGGGATTGACCCATAGCTTTGGTTAGCCTTGTTTACCCTTGTAGAAACATCCCTGGGCAATTTTCTCTCTTTAGCGGAAGGGTCGGGCTGCTTCTGTAAATTTGGAGACTGATTTTTGACATCTGAAAACTGAAATTATAGGCATAGTCTGGTTCCTCTCCTAGCATCTAGGTGCTCTCACCAAGATCCTGGGGTGCCCTGGCCTGGATGTGGCAAGAAACAGGACAAGAAACTTTGTTTGGGGAACTTGTTTTTTCATCCCGTTTTGACCAAAAATACAGTTTTCCTCTCTTGTTCAAAGGGACTGTGGTGGTTCCCTGCTGCAGGACACAGTCTCCCTGCAAGCCATGGTTTGGAGACGGCTGCTGGAGACACAAGGATGGGTGATGGATTCCAGTCTTGGGGCAGGCACTAAGGTGCAAGTAATTGCAAGTAATTCTGTGCAAAAGCATCTGATTTTTTGCTTCATGCTCCTCCTTGACAAAAGCTCTGCAGCCTCTTTCTTGCTCCAGGACCCTGTGTCACCTACACAGGTCCTCCAGCCCATGATCAACCTGCAGAAGAAGTGCTCACAAATGACTGTGTCCTGCTCTGGACTACCTTACTCAGGGCTTGCTCAGAGTTGTAAGAAGAACAGGGATTGTCACTTCTCTTTGTACTCCGGCGTCTTGGCAGCTTCCCTGCTTCATTTTCAGACGCGTGATTCTAGCCTTTATAATCCCATCAAAGCTGCTTTGCTGCTGTCAGTTGAGAGGACTTCTGTTTTCATCTGTCCACATGCCAGACGCTTCAGAAATGCCACCGGGCTTTGTGATGTTCTTACCACAGAGCTCTCGCTTCTCGCCTTTCTGTCGCCCCGAGGCTTCGCACCGAAGCAGCTCCGTGTGTTCCCGCTGCCTGAACGCAGGCCCTGGTTCCAATCTAACCTTACCTTGGTGATCAGCTCGCCCAGGGAAGATGATCCCAAACTGATTTATTGCTGTAATTCAGAAGATCTTTGCTCTTCTGGTTAGCAATGTGAACAGACCGAAACCCATGTGCAAAAATGCCAAGTTCATAGAAATCAGATGTGTAGGTGAACGTCTCCAGCAGGAAACACGAAGGACGTGTCGGTGTGCTGCTTAGTGACATGGTGACATGTGGTGCACCTGGCCTGGTGACATGTGGTGCACCTGGCCTGGTGACATAGTGGCACTGCTGGGTTAATGGTTGGACTCGATGATCTTCAAGGTCTTTTCCAACCCAAACGATTCGATGTTTCTGTGATTCTGTGACCATCATGGGTGTTGCTGAGCATCCACAAGCTTAAACAAAACAAAGAGCAAAATTTACTCCCTATCTGGGGGCATCGTAACTTCTTGTACCTATATCTTGCATTTTGCTAAATGCACCTGTGCTCTGTGCACAAGCTGATTTTATCTGTCAAGCAAATGTGGATGTACGGGAGTTTGTCTGCAAAAAAAATTATCATTGTAACTAATAGACCTAATTCAGGTTTGCAAGAAAATACTTTCTTTCCCCACCCCCTCCGCCACATGAAACTCTGTAGATATAAAAATCTACGGGCACTGCTTTTGCCTGCCTAAAATCTACTTAGAGCTTTGTGCCGACTGTTTCGCTTTCCGTCAAATATCTTTGGATTCCTGGAAGCCTGTGAGTGAGAAACAGCAGGGATAGGGAGCGGTGTGCAGTTTGGCCGCACAGCTAGAGGTGGTGGGATCTCTGTCAGATGTGGAAGTGTCCACCGGACACCAAGAGCATCCCTTTCCATAGCCGAGGGATTTGTGGTCCAGCTGTCGATTTGCAGATCCTTTGAAGTGGTTATTGAGGGACACGGTCAGAGGTGAAACCTTATTTTCGAAAAAAAAACCCCTGACCTTGGAACATTTGGTGAAAAGTTGAACTTTTTTTAATTTAGTCAAATTGTCGTTAAGAGTAGGGCTTTATCAATTTATTTACAGAAGCCCTTGCAAGCCTATAAATGAGGAAGACGAGAGCGATGGCTTATTATTTGGAGGCTGGAGGTCTGGAATCAGGAGTGGCAGTCTGATTCCCCCCTAAGTCATCGGGGGTCGGGGTCATTCATGTTCGGGGTCGGGGCGAAGGAGCTGAGCGCTTCTCCTGCCTCCCAGGATTGGGTGGGAGTCGCATCCCACCCCAGGAGCGAGCTCCGTGCTCCCCGGCAGCAGCTTTTCAGATGGAAAACTCGCTCCCTCGTTTTCGTCTCGTTTTTTTTTTTGAAAAGTTTATTTTAAGTGGCCAGTTCCTGGTCGTCGTCTTTTCGCTTGGATCCAGGTCTTTCCTCTCTCTCAGCCATCTCTCCATCTGCATGTTTTAACTCCCCCAGCTGCCTCTCTCATCTCTTGTGCCATTTTTTTCAGCTCTCTTGGCTTCTCTCGTCTCTTTGCCTGCTGTGTATTTTAACTCCCAGGGCCGCCTTCTCTGCTCTCCAAGTAATTCAATGTTACCTCCCACTGCCGAGCTCCGCAGCGCGCCATTCTTTCCCCATGTTTCATGCATTTCCTGCTGCTTGGACGCTCTGTTGAAGCAGCTAACATATAGAATCAATGTTTATTTTGAGACTGCATATGCCATGCGGGGAACACGGTGTCAGTTATTTTGTGCAGATGTATTCTCATTTAAGTTTTATAAATAATATCCGTGTTGGCAACTTTAATACCGAAAAATAGTGGTTTCGCGTTGTCGACGAGATGAAAGCGGATCTGCGGGACGTAGCTGACTTTGGAGCTGACAATGAAAACTTCATTAGTGCCTCCATGTCACGGGTGTTCGGGGACAACTGCATTCGTTGAGTTGGACTTCTAGTCCCTCAGACATTCCTCTTCATTCAGATGCTTCTGTGAATCCTTTTGTCTGGTAGCTACGATGAAATTGGGGAAATGGCACAGGTTTCTCCCAGCCAAGGCTACTCCAATGGTCTTCATCCGGCTTCCAACTCCTTGCAGAGTTGAAGCCCATCAGGCAGCCAGTCTATGTGTAGAACGTCCAGGTCCGTGTGTAAGTGCAACCTGGGGTTCCTCTGTAGGCTGAGCTCTGCGGTGGGAGAGCCTGAATCGTCCAGTGGGACTTCGTTCATGGGATCTGGACAAGTGGTGGACAAGCTCAGTCCATCAGCAGTGTCTGCTCTGAGCTGATAGCTCGCAGCGGAGGTGGAAGAACGTGAGCTCCTCATCCTAAAGCTCCACAGTACAACAGCCTCAGAGGGTGTGCAGTGCAGGAGAAGGTCTGAGGATGAGCTCTAAGAGCTCACGGGTGTCAGGCTCGGTGAGAGGAGGCCCTAGAGCTGTGCAGGGTTTATGGAGCAGACGATAAAGCTGGGTTCCTTGGACGTGGGCTTCTTCAGCTTAAATGATGCTTTTCGCTGCAGAAATGGGCATGAGGTAGAAGACCTTTTTGAACCTCGTGTTCGTGACCTTTTGCTGGGGATATTCTTCTTCTGAGAGTGTGTGCACAGCGTTTCCTGCAACTGCTTTTCCCCCTCTGAAGTGCAAAGTCTCTCCTCGGTCCAGCTAAACCCTCGCTGAAGTTTGTTTAAACTCAACAGCTGCCAGCAGTGACACCTTAAACTGCTGTGGCTGTTTCCAGGGTAAACATTGAAACTGCTCCTTTAATTATGTCAATCAAGCACAAAAATCCCCCAACCTCACCCGCTTTGCATCTGCTGTGTCCTGTGGAGGGGGCACTGGGGCTAGAGCCAAGAGCAGGAGATGCTCCTTGGTGAGCACAGAGGTGGACAAGGCAGCAGAGAGGTTGCTAGAAGAGCTCAGCATTCCCCAAAATGACCAAAACCGCGTGAGAAAAGCTGAAAAACACCATCTGCAGAGAGCAGAGACGTGGTCCGGCGCCGGCTCTGGGTGGTTCTCAGCAGAACTCGGGTAGGACAACCACCCCGAAGCTTGTTTTGCACGTCAGAGGGGTGTTTTGAGCCCCTGGGCTCTGAGGAGCCTCGGGATACCCAGAGCTTCAGCCTCCGGCGCTTTTCTCACCCCGGCGCCATCGGCGGCGTCTTGATGTATGTATTAGCTTTGAACCTGTTTATACCAAACACTACAGAAACCCCACAGAATCTGTCAGCTGGGAGACTTGGGTTAACTCCTGTCATATTTAGTTTAGCATCTGACACCTCCTTCTAGACAAATACAGCTCTGGTTCACTGAACCTGATAACTCCTTTTTAGTACAGCGACTGACTTCCATATGGAATAAATTACAGTACCTCTTGAAAAACGCCAGAGGCAGCTGCCAAATTATGCAAAATTTAAACCACTAATGAACAATGTGATGAAAGTTGAATGAAGGTGTATTTACAAGATCTACAACACACTGTCTCTGCGGAGCAGATGTACTGTCTGTACAAGCGCGCGTGTGTCTGTGCATATACCTACGTACGCGCACGCTCATGCATATTGAAATGTTACCCGTGAGGTCTAGCTGGTGTAGGTATAGAAATGTTAACAGTGAGATCTACCTAGGATCAGGAAGCCAGAAGCTCCCCGGCGTGCTACTGCCTTTTTAATACCCTCCAGGCAAATGTTCTTTCGGCAAATTGCCGAAAGAGGAGGTTTTAGGGGCGTTTGAAGGGGGGGGCAAAGCAACAAATCTTTTTTTTTTTTTTTTCTAAAAAGGTGGAAATAAGAGAGAGGAGGAGGGAAGTATTGCAAAAATCCATGTTTGTTTTTTTTTTGCCATCCGAAGGTTGATATTTAAACATGGATCACTTATCCTAGCAAGGCAGACCACGGGTGCCAAAAACCGTGGTAACAATAAAACCCGCATGTTACGATCTTCCTGCAGATTTCCAAGGTGAGACCTTCTTCGGGCACAGACTTTTCGATCCACTCTTGTCTCATCAAAGGCACCAAAGTTTAGTTCACCAGAGCCTGTCCTGGCTACACAGTCTGTAAAATCTGCCCTTCTCGTGCGAGAGTAGCTTCACGCCTTTCTGCAGGAGTATTCATGGGGTGGGGTATTTGCTCTGGTGGTTGTAGCCTTTGGAAGATGCTGATGGCAAAGCTGGGCTGTCAGGGAGATCTAAAGATCCAGATTTCCACTCCTTTGATCAACCCCCTTGGCAGAGCAGCCGGGACCGTGCCGTAAACCAGTTCGCTCTTCAATAAGTTGGTATGAATTTGATTTATTTTTAACCTGCTGTAACGCTCCGCTATTAAACCCTTTGGAAACACCTGGTCGTTCGCTTCTGCTGGGGGCTTAATGGGTGAAAAGAGGGGGTTCGCTTTGCGTTTGGCAGCTAACAAAGTGCGCCGCGTGGTATTTCTTCTTCTGCGGTCTGTGTCGAGAGCAAAGATGCTCAGGACAGAAGCAAAGTGGACCTCTCGGCTGATTACGAGTGGTTTATTCCGAACCACACGTGTTTTAGAATCTGGATCCCAATTAAGACATCGCACGACACGTGTTAATTAGTCCCCTCTCCTTTTTAAATCAAGCCATAACTCTTCTTAATTAGGAGGTTAGCCGTTGTAATTTGAACTGGCCTGAGTCTGAAGCACTCCTGGAAATCACACCTGGGGGCTGTACCGGGATCGTTTTAAATTGGTTGATTTTTTACTTGAGTGATTATAAGGTCCCCAACAGGGCAGTAATTAAGGAGGGTGCAGCTTCCAAATTAAGGTGTCAAGGGCGGTATAAGCCGTGCTGTCTTGGTTCTAAACTGTACTCCAGGGAGGCTTGAAGGATGCTGGTCGTACGATTTTCTCAGCGAGGGGTCTCATGGATCACGACAGCTTAAGCAGGAGAATAAATCAGTTCCAGGAGTTGCGCCTCCGCAGCCCAGGGACTAGTTATTGCAGCTAATTGATGGTGATTCCTGAAGGGTTTTCTTTTTTGGTTTAAGAGCGTGGAGCGAGGTAACCTGCTTTCCCAACCCGGACGAAATCCTTGCGGACTTCTGCAGGAGTCTTTTAAGTTAGATCGTGCTTTATGCAAAACAAAGTAGCTAAATATTGGAGAACAGAAGCTTGGCTTTCACAGCACAAATTGATAGGATCAACTCCGTCTCGATGGCTTATTAGTGAGGAGCTGAGATACCGGAGGAGTTAAAGCTCTGGAACTTGTTTTCCTTCCCCGCTTCCCCCAAACCTTCTCAAGATGAAGACAGCTTTCAGCAAGCATTGCTAGCAAAGGGTGAAGAGTCTGAATGTTCAGACAACGTACAGCGGGGTAACAAGTTCCCACACATCAGCTGCTCCGTTATAATTTGTCAGGTGCGGGTTTGTAGCCTGCAGTAAACGTGGAGTAGACGGGGGCTGAGGTAATCTGTTTCCTTGCAGGGGCTGCACGGGGAGACGTGCCTGCAGAGTCGCTTGTGCGTGTGCCAGCGCGGCGTGCCCTGCTGTGGGAAGGGTTGGTTTTGGTGGGCACCTTGTGAAGGGTGATGGTAACCGCGGTGATATTTAGCTGCTTGTACCTTCCTTGACCGGAAGAGAGCTCCTCTGTTTTTTACTGCAATGGAAAGGCGTCTACTAGAGGGTCTTCACCGGCGTTTGATGGCAGGATAGCGTGAGGTATCATCATCATCAAGATGAGGATGGACGTTGAGTCTAAGGCCATAGCTGACGACCCAGCAGTGATTCTGCTGACGAGGTATCATCATCATCAAGATGAGGATGGACATTGAGTCTAAGGCCATAGCTGACAACCCAGCAGCGATTCTGCTGACTTTTTACATTGCTACTATACACTGAATATTCAGACAAAACTCACAGTCAAGCATCTGTAATTCTTGAGGGGTCTCTGGAGGGGTCTGTTGAGGTATTCTGGGGATATCTGGGCATGGAGCGATAGGATGAGGGTCAATGGTTTTAGACTAGAGCAAGGTAGGTTTAGATTAGACATTAGGAAGAAATTCTTCACTATGAGGGTGGTGAGACGCTGGCACAGGTTGCCCAGAGAGGTGGTGGATACCCCATCCCTGGAGACATTCAAGGTCAGACTGGATGGAGCTCTGAGCAACCTGATCTGGTTAAAGATGTCCCTGCTCAGTGCAGGGGGTTGGACTAAATGGCCTTTAAAGGTCCCTTCCAACCCAACACATTCTGTGATTCTATAATTCTATTTACACCAAAAGGACACCCGTCATTCAACTTTTTTCTACTGATGAGAAACAACTGGCGATATCAAGAGTTACGTTTTTCCACCTCGACATTTGTAAACTACTTGAGGTCCCGTATCCTGGCATGTATTTCATATGCCACTTTCTCCCAGCTAAATGTTGTCCCTGTCACTTGGTGTTAATTGCATCAGAAAGGTCACTTAATGGGTCATTATCAGAACCTGACCTTGCAGGTGTCTTACAGTGTTTGCCGTTAACAAATGTTGAAGTCATAAATATCTCCTGGGGACAGCGAGTGTTAAAATATCCTTATCACCCACTCTACAGATGTGTGATTTTTGACAAATTGAGGTATCATAGAATCATAGCATGTTAGGGGTTGGAAGGGACCTCTAGAGATCTAGATATTGTCAACTTCATTACCTCATCCACAAAGTCATGTGCCACCTTCAGTACCACCTCGTGAAGTGGCCGAAAAATTCCACAGTGTCTCTGGAGAAGCTGCTTGCCTTGGGCTCACTCAGCGTAGTCTCCGAAGCCTTTATGGAGGTGACACCTGCGTGCAGGCAGGTCACCTCCTGTGCCATCTACTCCAACGCAAAATGGTTGGAAATAGGGGAAGCACGTGTGAAGCGATCCTGTTTTAATTTAGAAGTGAGCGCTTGGGTTGACATGGGCCGTGTGATGCAAAAGCAGATGCAAAAACAGAGCGTTCCGGACTCCAGGAACTCTTGAGGGTGAATTTTGGTCATGCACTAAGAAAGAACGGAGACGGAAAAGCAGATGCAAAAACAGAGCGTTCCGGACGCCAGGAACTCTTGAGGGTGAATTTTGGTGATGCACTAAGAAAGAACGGAGACGAGTCAGGAAGACCAGCGGTTCTGGGTGAACACCAGTGCCCGTTCTGATGACTGCATGCGCTCACCCCGTCTATGAAATGATCTAACGAAGCCTTTCCTTTCCAGAACATCACTCCTGAGGTCCCGTCCCCGGATGATTCTCCCAGTCCAAAGCCTTGTGTGCCTCGCTGCCTTTGGCCTGGCCCTCCCGTTGGCCATCAGTCTCTTCCCGCAGATGTCTGAGGTCAGTACACGTTTGGTCGCTGTGGTGGGACATCTCCGAGGGGTTTACCAGTGTAGTTCCTCGTTTGGCCTTCCTGCATAATGGTCTCATTCCTATGGGGCCTCCTCCGTTTTTGAATGGAGGTGGGCTCCTGCCTTTGAACAAGTGCGGATTCACCGGGCAGGTGATGGTTGTGTTAGTTCTTCTCGTTTGCGCTTGCGTAGCACAGAGTAATATTCAAACTTCTGCTTCTGTTTGGGTCATGTGGTGGGATGTACCCCCCAAACCAACAGAGGAACCTTTGTTCCACCCAGCAAACACACCGTTTACGGGCAAAGGTTGGGCACGTGTGATCCTCCTCCCTTCCATCGCATCTGTTTTTCTCCTGTAGGGGTGATCTGCTCCGGGCTTCTCCCAAGTGGAGAACATTTCATAATCAAACCGCCAGGGATCAGGGGGATAACTGGGTTGGAATATGGTTGGATTTTTTAAATATATGAGGATAATGTTCTGCCTGCTTGATCCCCAGTGAGGAGAGTGGCTCAGCTAGCACAGTGTGTATCCTGTCCCTCTTCACTGATAGCCAGGTCAGGTCTGGTCAAACAAGCCCAGTGTTCCTGAGTTGGTGTCCCTGACCCCGGCTGGGTTTGTCCTGTCTTGTCTGGGGATGTGAGCTTAGTCAGAGCTGAGCTGGGACAACGTGGTTCGGCTCATCCTCTCCGATGACAGCGGCGTTTCCTTGGTGTTAACATGGTGAAATCAAGTCTTCATCCACCAAACAAAGAGCCTGGGATGTACGTGTGACGTGGATGTACTTTCCCAGAGCTTCTTTGCGGGTTTTTGCCTTTTCATCTTCTAGCCTGGCTCTGGGAAGACACAGCCTGGGGCTGAGCAGAGGAAAGCTAGCCAAGAAAACAGACAGGATGACTGTGAAATCACTCGTAACCAGGTTAGCTGAACAAATCGCTAAGGTGGATTTATTTGGGAGTCATGAGTTTTGACTGTTTGGCGTTTGGAGCTGATGGACGTGCAGATCGTAAATCTTTATATTTGTACATTTGCAGGGCGGGTCGTTGTTATAAAATGCTAAAGCCTCTATCAAACAGAGCACAGGACCTCACAGAAGTTCTTTTTTTTGTGTCAACCAGAACAGTTGATCAGAAATTGGTCTCGTGGTCTCTATTGGTTAATTGATATTTTTGCGGTCTGGGTGGGTTTGCCCACGACTTCCAGCCGGGGAGTCTTGTTGTGCACTTGTCTGCTAGACTGAAAAAACGTGTTAGATTTTTTTTGTTGTCCTTCTAGTTGTTTACAGGCTGAGATAAAACTGTCCCTTAATCTTCTCTTTAAGAAACTGAATATAGCTCAATCTTGGAGTCTCTTGCTAAAAGACGTGTTTTCTGAAGCTTTAATGATTCATATGGCTCTTCCTTAAACTTTTTCTAATTAGTCAACATCCTTTTTGGAGCACTTCCATAAGAACCAGACACGGTATTCCAGTAAGAAGTTGCACAAGTACCAGTTGCAGGAGCAGTGTGATTTGCTTGCTTCTACTTGAATTTGTACCTCCACGGAGCATGTTAATCATTTTGGCATGAGCTCAACCTTCGCTCCGCGTCCCTCAAGCTTTTTTTGCTGCGATCCCAAGTTTTGCTCGGAGGTTTTGGTCAGGAAAGACCTGAGAAGCGTTTCTAGGTCTTGCATGTGCCCAGGGTATGTCCAGAATTCCTATTGGGAGGAAACTTGGACCCAGAGCATCCCTTATGCTCCTATTTCCAGGGAAAGGAGTTTCACCCTCCAGAAGGCAGCCGTGGCCTCTCCTAGGAGGTCAAGATGATCGGGTGATTTTATGTCACCTCGAGCCTTCAGCGGCGGTCGTCGGGTATTTTCTCTCTTCTCCCTGACATGTTCAATGACGTTGGCCAAACCAAACGGTTCTTTCAACACAGAATCACAGAATCACAAAATGTTAGAGGTTGGAAGGGACCTCGAAAGATCATCTAGTCCATAGACATCGACAGGAAACTCACCCTGCGATTCTGGTTGGAAACTCAGCATTTGGTACATTTCCAGTGTTTTCTCTAGGCATCGCTTAGCACGGGCTTCTCTGAAATAGTAAGTGGACAGTGGGAATGCAAATGTTGGTACCAGAATTGGAGTTAAACGCTTTGGACTCTACAAAAATAATTGCTCGTTGCCTTAGTTTCTTTATCTGAAAATGAAGCTCAGAAAGTCTTTTTGCTTTTTGTATTGTGGCTTTATGGGTGACAGGTAATTTATAATATATAGTAACTGATATTACAGCATGAAAAAATGCATCGATGCTAACAGCTGAATGAATTCTAGCCCACGAGGGAGATTAAGGTCTGGCTTCCTTCAAAGGATATTCAAATTGCAGGCACCAGGCAGTACAGAAACCGTACAGCATCACTTGAAAATGACCTTCTAAAAGCAGATGAAATGTTATCTGCAGTGTAAACATGAATCAGCGCTGATTAGTAGATCAAACAGAATGACGTGCTCTCTGCCCACGCTTCGTGTCAGCGAAAAGAAACCATTACAACTGGTGGTACAGCTCGCTGCCTACTGGGATCTCGGCTCCGCTCAACTGGAGTGAGCTCCGCGCGCACAGCTGGACCTCACATCTGCTGAGGCGAAGGATTCAGATCCTCCTTAGCAGCCTGGTCTGATCAGTCTCCCGTTTCCGTGTGAGTGTTGTGTGTCGAGGGCGTTCCTCCCGTTCTGCAGGATCTCCTCGGTGGTGACTGTAGGGATGCTTAAGTGAGCAGAGCGAGTGGTTTATCTGAAACAACCCCTCCAGAGCCATTTCTTCACAGTCTTGGATAGGAAATCTGTGTTTCCTTGCAAAGAGCATTTCTCAGAACGTGCGGCTTCTTGGTCACTCATCACTGGTCCATTATCTTCTCAAATAACTAAGTTAATAGACCTTTGAGTGTTTGGACGTTGACCTCTCTCTCTGTTTGTACACATGTATGCGTGTGTGTGTTTGCTTTTTCTCATAACCGCCGTAGGTGAAGCAGCTCTGGTCATAGCACGACTGAGATGATGCTGTTGTAATGAGCGCTACCCGGGGAGTAAATTATTAACAACAAGATGTAATAGGCGCGCTCCGTTCCAAAAATATGATGATGGTCTGAGCAGCAACCCTTTCAGGCATTGTAAATGAGCCAAATTCTGCCCTTAATCACACATTCACAGTCCTTTCTCTTTAGTCAGAGAGCAAACACAGAAGCTGATGTGTTATTAAGCGCTCGTTTTAGCACGGGAGCTTGACTGGCTGCCTTTGATCTACGCTTCTAAAGGGGCTCAAAGTTGCAATTAGTTTTAAGGCAGAATTGAAGCCTTGCAATAGATTTAATAAATGTGCTGGATAAAGGCAGCCACCTTATCGTGTCGGCTGTAGCTGCTTCAGCATTATACCTATTTTAAAATAACACAAGAGACATCAAATTTCAGCTCTGGTTGCATATAGAAGCACCGATATCGGGTAGGTGGAAATTCTGGGGCTGAACAACCTTTGTGTCCTGGGAAGGATAATGTATCCAGATCTTCTCTTGGGTCGATATTAGCTAAGAGCTTACCCCTCCCTTGATCTTGTACAGATGGAATCTGCTTTGATGTCTGTGGCAGTGCTCTGGACTTACAGAATCACAGAACTGTCGAGGCTGGCAAAGCCCTCTGAGATCATCAAGCCCAACCTGTGACCCAATCCCACCCCATGGGCCAGACCAGGGCACTCAGTGCCACATCCAGTCCTTAAACCCCTCCAGGGACGGTGACTCCACCCTGGCCTGGGCAGAGCATCCCAGTGCCTGAGCACCCTCTTACAGCTTGTTTCTAGCTGTGGTTCTGAAGACCACTTTGTAAAAATCAAACTCTAGTGTTGGCCGCAAAGACATGGGTCCTTGCAACCACGCTCGCTTCAGATGCTGAGAAATGTACTTCCCATCCCAATATAGTGTTAACTCCGGTACCCAAATGCATCAATATGCGTCAAGTAATTCGCTGCTGTTAAGTTTAGGAGAAACATCTAGTTAATGCATTTAGCCCACAACCTCCAACTGCCTCCCATGCCCCCCGGGGAATCTCTTTTCCAACCGCCTATCCTACAGCATCCCCACTGACAACTCCTACTCAGCCATGCGCTGCCAATAGAAACAGCTGTGACAGTTCCAAACTGAAAATGGGACTTGTGCAAATGAAATTCAGTGTAGCAGCAAGAGAAAGAACCACGGGGCCGCTCCGCTGATTTTTTTCCCACCCGTTGGGACCCGCTCATCCCGAGAGCGTTCCATTTTTCGGTGTCCGAGAGGATGCTGTCGGACTCCTCGCCTCGTCCCGTGCCCGGTGTGCTGGATCGTGCTGGTAAAGGAGGATGAAGCCAGGTGAGAAACGGAGCTGGAGCAAGAGCTGATGGCAGAGAAACCCTTCCACTAGCCATGAGACACATGCCCTCCCTGTGGGTTAAGTTTAAAGGGCTTTGGTTGCCGCTTAGGGCAAAACAAGCCGTCTTCCGGAATGAAGCTTATTTCAGCTGAAAGCCTTTTCTTACAAATAATCTTCCTTTTGGATCTCCAGGACAAGGGGAATAAACAGCCTAAAATCCAAGGCTGAGCTATTGTTTTCCAATCTGTTTTAGCCTTCATCTTGTTGGCAGGCTGCTTTAGAAAAGCAAAAGGTTAATGAGCCAATGTGCAGTGGGATTATTGCAGTAAAGATGACAGTGAACCAGTAATTACTAATTAGATGCAGTTTAACAGGAGGAACAAGTGAAATCTCCTCTTCACCAACTGTCAATAATTAGCAGATTTGGTGAGGTTGAAATGTGTCCACAGTTAAAAGGCTGATTTTTTAATGAAATGGCACTTGACAAAAGAGCTGTATGGAGGTCACAGCCATAGCCCTCGAGACGCTTCCCTATACCATACTTAGGAGGGAAATCAGATGCAAGACAGCAGGAGGTCCCCATGAAACCATTTCTCCCTTGGGATTACATCGCACAGGGGGAGGGGAGCGGGAGGGAT